AATTCTGTGAGTAGCAGTTCCAAAACTTCTAATAGGCACCAAGTTAGGGAGAGCTAGAGTTGCTAAGAAACCAAACTTCATCAATTTATCAATTTATTTATCAGTTTATCAATGGAAGAACTAGACCTTGGATAGTCCATCAGTGTAAACAAAGGTTCTCCTGTGATATTGTTGAACTGAAGAAAAGTCTCAAAACTCTAAAACACAACTTGGTTTGATTGGAACTGTTTTTGAAATATATTTTGTTTCTTTTTACCTTCTGAATTATACATAATTCTAATAAATCCCCCATAGAATTTACTAGGCATTAACTAAATAAAAGAAGTCCACACATTAAAGGAAAAAAAAAACTAATGAAGGCCCATTAATCTGAAACATTGGATGAAATGATGCAGCATTCAGATGATAGGTTGCAAATTCCTTACACACAGAAAACTAACCACCAGGAAGAATATTTATCAGTAAAATTGTTACTATTTTCATGAGGGACATTCTACCCTTTGAGCTCCCATTTGTCTCTGAGAACACAGTAAATTTGCACAACATGCTACCTCCTGATCAAGTGAACTAAATTTAGTAAATTAACCTAATTGTCTAGGTTCATGCAACACAGTGAACCTGGGTGAATTCACACAGCACACTGAGTAACAAACCAGCCAACATTGTTTTCGCTCAGTGGACTGTATGAATGCAGCCATATGGGGCAGAGATGATTAACTCTTTAACCTGTAGTTTATAAAAATTAGGCCTAAGACATCAAATCAAATCAAAGTTTATTGATTAGCCCTAAGGCCTTATCAAAATAACAGTTAAACAGTAAATATTTAATAAAACTCTTTACAAAAGTAATATAGCAAACAGATTAAATAAAACATGAATAAAATAGGGTAATAAGTATAAGAAGGTATACATGTAAGTGAAAACACAAATCATATTTCCGTATCACCCTGGCAATTCAGACATAGTTTATAAAAATTAGGCCTAAGACATATTTTAACACATCTATCCTTTTTTTCCCAACTCTGAGAGGAGAGGGACTGCTGACCACATAGAAAGTTTAATTTTCCACTAGGTGGCAACAGTCAGCCTAGGCTTTCCAATTGATGTTAAGCTGAGTCCAGATCAACATCAGGACATTTCATATTGTCCTGTTTCACACTCCATCAATTTTGGTTAAATGCCTTGCCTTGCTGAATGTTAACTGATAGACTTTAACTCATGGGTCACATAGTGTATGTTTCCTCTTGGATGAAAGTTACAAAGAAGTGTCCACTTTATCTATTCTTAGAAAAGTTTCCATTCTTTTTTTTTCTTTGTCCAAGGAATTTGGTGGGCCATACTTGGTCTCTGATAAATATCCAACTCTTTATATCCTCTGATATACATTATCCTTGTGAGATAATGGGTAGTTTCTTTGTTTCCCTCCCTTTAATTGACAAACTTGGTAATGGCTTACGCAGTAAGTGATTTAGGTCACCTACAGTAACAGATGCCTTTGTTCATCTGTCTTCTGGTTCTGAAATTTAATAATAATAATATCATTATCCTGGATAATGAGAGAGCACCTAACTATAAAATCATTCCTTGAATTTGGGATGGCTCATCTTGCTTCCAAAACAAGATGCAGGAGTTCATTCAATGCTTCCAAAATATGCATAACTTAGCATAACATTCACACGTCTAATGGTCATCTTTATTCCCCAAATGTTTCTGGATACTCTCTGACCACGCAGGACAAAAGGAAAGAATAATTGCCGGTGCCCGAAAATGGGAAAGGCTTGGGGAGAGTAGTCTGGGTAGGAGATTTCAAGGTAGTCCAGATAAAATAATGCTTATGCCTTCTTACACTTTTAGAGTTTACTGGTATATTTCTATCCCTCTAAACACTATTCTGGTTTTAGCAGACATTCTGGCAAGAGTAATTTGAAAACACACTGTTGCAGATCATTCTTAACCATTCAAAATGTTTCATGATCAAGAGAACTAAGGAGAAGTTTTCCCTGCTATTTAGATACATGTGCTATTTAGAGGTTAGCAGGAACCACTGTAACAGTAAAGTGTTTTTATTTTTAGAAACCTATAGTTTATTGAAGAATAACTTCAATAACACTGAAGAAACTCTATATTTTTCTTAACATTATAGTCATGAGATTCAGTTTAAATATAACCAGGAAAGCCTTCTACTTAGCAACCGCGAAACAAGCTGTCGGAGAGTTCTGTCCAGAGCGAATGATATCATGCAATTAAACAGTCAACAAGGAAAGCCTGCATTCGTTGGTTTAACACTTTCAAGTAGAAAGACTGTGTCCTAAAGTGCACACTAAATAGTGCTCCTATTATTCTTCAGTCATATTTTTATGGTTTTAGCTTTTTTCTAATTTTCTATGGTTTTATGGTTTGCTTTATTGTACCCTGTCTCCATTAAATTATAGTGATGTTTACTAATGACTAAGCTAAACTAAGGACAGGGAGATTTGATTCTGAATACATAAGTTTAGGATCATGCTAGATCCAGGTGGATTAGGTTTGTCAGTTAAAAGGACACCATTAAGCAATGAAAAGCAATCCAAAAATATCCAGAGAGGATTAATGAGTCTGCTCATAGCCATTGCACCATATTAAGCTATGTAGAACATGATAATTAGCAATCGAAGCATAAGTACTTATGGCTTTCTCCAGCCTCCCGTAATTTCAGCTAAAAAGCAACTCCAGAGTTTTTTCCAAATTAAGAGAAACAGATACTAAAAAAGTTTCCATGTTTTGCAAATGTAGCTGTTTTAACTGACATGATTAAACATGTTGTATAAACACAGTCAACACTTAATGTCATTTATTTATACATAGCAAATATTTTAATTTGGATATGGTTTTCTAAAATGATCTTCCAATGATTTGTTATACACATAGTGATACAAAGAACGTTAAAGATTAATATTCAATTAAAACCAGAACTTTTCTTGTTGGGACTAATGAATAGACAATTAGAAAAGTTATGGAAGGCTGTTTTTATATAGGATAACTGGTGCAACATTATTATATGAACAAAAATGGAAAGACACTGAAATAGCCACAATGGAGGAATGGCTGGTAAAGATGACAGAATTAGCAGAGATGGCAAAATTGACTTGATTAGAGAAAGGACAATAACTACATTTATTAGTTATTGACTGGAAACCCCTTAGGGACTGGTTATGACTGGAAACCCCTTAGGGACTTCTTGCTGAAAAAATAAAAAAATGAACTTGTCATTTATGGGTTTGATGATTAGAAAGGATAAATTATGGAAAGAAGGAAACTATGTTGTAACCTTAGAAAGAAAGTAAAATAAAAATGTGCTTGTAACTGCTGTTAAGAAGACTGGAAGCCACCTCTTTATAACTTTTCTTTTTCTTTTCTTTCTCTATTTCATTCTTTGCATTTTTTTCACTTATTACTTTCCTTTCCTTTTTTCTTTCAAAATTTGTATTGCTTTTATTCTTTTAAATTTTTATTGAATAAAAATTATATATAAAATAAAATCATCTCCCAATGATTTATACAGGTAGTCCTTGTTTAGCAGCCACAATTGGGACCAACAATTTGGTCGTTAAGTATAGCGGCTGCTAAGTGAAACTGTCACTTTTTTTTAAAATATATAATTTTAAGAATTTTAATTACAAAACTAATACAAACTAAACTTAGAGAAAGAGAAGAGAAATAAAATGTGCAGGAAAAAAAAGAAAGAAGAAAAAGAAAAATATATAAAGAAGACACTTCCAACCTTCATCATCACAAGCATACACAAATTTAATAACTCTTTACCCCCTATAAGGTCAAACAAGTATCTCTTCATCCCATATCCCATCTCTTATCTACAAGCAAATCCATAAAACATCAACTTTCAATCCTGCTGTCAGCAAAAATCCATAAAGGGCTGCAAGTACATTCCAAAAACATTTTTTTTTCAGAGTTGAAGATAAACTCGCCCGATGAAGACTTCAAATCTGTCATTCCGAAGGTCTCTAATAGCTTTAGAATAGTTAATAGGCAATTTCCAAAAGTGATTAGAAAGTGAGGTTTGCGAACTTAGTGTCCTAAAAGTGTTGCTGCAGTTGCGAGCAAGATGACTGATCCTGTTGTCTCCCAGCACTCAAACACACAGAAAACCACTGTCCTGTGGTCTCCTCATGAGAAGCAACCACCTGGAGCATGTGGGCAATCTCCCATCCTCTCCTTATCTGGAGAGGTTCCAAGAAACTGGTCTACTCGCCGGTTCCCTGCTCTTTGCCGCAGTCATCAGCTCTGTTCACATACCTACCACGGAAGCCTCCAAACTGCGACCGTGTTTGTGATCTTACTTCAGCTTTCCTTTGCTTTACAGACCTGCAAAGGTTGTAAATGCAAGGACTGGTCACAAAGTTACTTTTTCATCACTGTTGTAACTGCGAACAGTCACTAAACAAGGACTACCTGTATTCATTAGGAATGAATCAGTGCAGGTCACCAATGATATAGCATCTTTTGTTATATCATGTCATCAATCACCACTATATGAATAAAAACCTTGCTAATACTTTTATTTAGTTCTGTTTATATAATTTATTATTATTAAAGATATAAAGGTTTGAAAGAGATTCAGAAGTCTAAATATACAATGGAAGGCAGAAAATGTTGCAACACTGATGAGAGAACACACAGTTGTAGAGTTGATCATTTAGTTTTTTGACTAAATAACTGTATGGAAGCCTCAAACGATTGTGAAAAACCCACAACGTGTTGCAAAATGGGATTTAAAAAGGTAATTTTATTTTTGCTCTTTAATCTTGGGCATATTTAAGAGCAGTCCTCTGAAACTTAATTTGAATTTTACATCCCCCTCCCAGTGAAATATTTGCTATCCTATTGGACATGGTTTCTTTGATTAAAATTGTCCAGATGATTTCTAGACAAGCCACCATGAGATAATTGGATTAAAAATATGATAAATGAATGCAACAATTAACATATGACACACCACTAACTGAAATTTCTAACAAAGTGAAGTTTATTGATCAAAGAAGTACATCTATAATACCTTCTGAATATGAAGTTATTATTGAAAACCCAACAAAATGCTTTAAAAACACAAGTTGCTTGACTTATACTATGGACTTGTCTCAAAGTCTCAACCATTAACCCCCCAATATAGCCTTAAATTTGATGCAAGTAAAAACTGTAATGTTTTAGGTACAATTCTGAATAAAATCCCCAGATATTTAGAAAAGATCAACATTGTATCAAAAGATAAAAAAAACTTTAAAAAGAACTGGTTATGAAGAACTTTCCCAAGATGAAAATGCTGTAAATAAAAATAGTAGAGGAAGTATTAGTTTCTGAAGTTAAAGTATTAAAAGTTGGTGGTACATTTAAAGAACTGCTTTAGGAAAGGGCATAGCTAAGGTGTACCATATTTGGGTTGCAAACATCCAGACATCCACTAGATGTCAGAAGAGATGCTCTTAACTCTTGCTGCCAGTTAGTGATCACCTGGATTTTTATACCCCACATAGGGTATCCTTCCATAGCTATAAATCTACCAGGAGGTTTATTTCACAGAAATGAATGAGTATGGAGGGAAAGGAATCTTATCCCTTTTCATCACTGCCATTTGTGTTAATACAGCAGCTTTTCCTAGCAGTGTGTGGGGAAAGCTGCAATCAGGCACATCTACGGATCTACGGGGGCGGAGGGGGGCAGGAAAAGGAAAAGGGAAGGTGGCAGCGTGCGCATGAATTCTACTGCACCCACCCTTTTTCTTTTTTTTTTTAATTCCCCCCCCCCCATGCCCCTGGCGGTAACAGAATTTGTGCACATCATTTCCTGCTAGACCTGGGCTCCATGCTTTCCCTACATCAGGCCCTAAAACACTGTCATGAAACATTCACTAGTACAGTAAACTGTAATTAGACTTGTGGGCAATATTACACGGATAACCTATTTTTCCATAACCATTTTGTTTCTGATAAAAACTTTTGGCAAAGCTGTGGCAAAAACTACTGCTATACCACAAACCGCTGACCCTCCCCCCCTTAAAATAGGCACCAGAAATGCTAGCTGTAGGTTTTAACCTTTAAAAATGGGTATGTTTTACAAGGCATTTATTGAAATACCTTATAAACTACAATAATTACCATATGCAAAATGAATTTGGCAGGGGGAGCCAACTGTTCGGAATCTAACAAGTTTGGGATGTGTTTTTTTAAGAATGCTTAACTTTGTGGGATTCACATTCCCACTTCACATTATCAGTTCCTGTTATTTGCAAAGATCAGTTTCGAGGCATCTGAAAACCATCAAAACCAGTACGAATAAGCCAACATGCCAAATCTTTCCCATCATACAATAAAGGACAGTACTCAGTGGAGTATATTGATGCCCCTTTTAGACTTAAAATGTTTGTACCTTATTATCTGCAGAATTTTCCTGCTGTAAAATACAAAGGCACATTACTAAAGGCAGGTATCAGTAGCATGAAAAGTTCAGTACATTTTAAAATGGTCCCTGCAATTCCCTTTGACAACATTTTCTCTCTCTCGCTCCTTTTTCTTCTCTGTGAAATACAGAGTTACAACGCATTAAAAGGTTAATTTCTTCCTCTCCAGACATCAAATGTAGAGGCTAAAAGAGCTGTCCTAGGAATAAATCTAAGAAGGAGCTGGGCACAGTCTAATTTTTTGTAGCAATAGTACCATTTCCTCAATCAGAACTTATCTCAGCTTTTCAAAAAGCACATTAACAATGTCAGACAACTTATCTAAGAAGTCTTAAAACCTTTGTGCTCAAAGATTTCAGCTATTCAAAAATAATTCAAGGAAACATGGAGGCATGTTCTGCGAGAGGCATCCAGGTGATGCGTTGTTGTTTTTAAATGATCTGAATTCACAGAATGCAAAAGAATAAATGCATACATAAAAAGAGGTAAGTACATTGAAAAAGAAATAGTGATATTGTCTGTTAGTTCAGCCCTTTATGGTCTGCTTGGCTTTGAAAATAGGCACTTCTTTATCATCAAGAGGTGGTTGGCTTTCACTTATCCGAAAATATTAAATGGAAGCTGCTGTTGTAATTAACATAATGTGTAAGAACCCAAGCACGAGAGCATCGTCCTACTAATTCTAGTGCAATTTTCCTAGCAATTGAGATTCCACAGCTAAATCAAAAGCAGTGATGCCTGTTTCCTAGCAAGCTAACCCTTGAATTTATGATTAGAATAACTTGCACTGTAATCCTAATCTGAATCTACTTCTAATGTATTCTATGGGACTTACTTCCAGACAAGGAAGCATGTTTTGGTTATAATAATTAAGGAATCTCCAAATGAACTTCGGTAGGCATGGGAAGAGCTTCTGCCAAATTAGAAACTGGAAATGCAAAATGTTAATTAAAGATGCAGTTCAAACTGTGATATTAAAATTACACTGAATTAAATTGTTTTTTTTCCTAATGTTTTATCTACTATTGAATTTAGATATAATTGCATCAAAATATATTTAAAGGTGAAACCAAAAATCTGAGAGTTGCAAGAGAGAGAGAGAAAAAAAGATTCCACAGACTTACTAAAAATGTTTGATAAGATAGAATTATTTTGTTGCCCACTATTCCTACACCGAATACTTTATTAGATGCATTTAGTCCCAGAGTGGCTCATAATAGTTAATTAATTGCATCAACATTTACAGTGTTGCACATCCCAGTCAAATTTTCAGGTTCCATGTCATGTCACCCAATGATTCATAAAAGGTGCCTTTCATTAATATAAATAAATATTTTTATATCCACAAATCCTTTTCTTTCACAATCCAGATTTGTAATAATTTACTATGAGATCTATTACAGGGAAAACAAAAAACTTCTTGACCTCATATTCTTCCCACTGAATATGACATCTCATCCAGTTAAGTGTTAAACTCCTTTTTATAATTCTAAATAAAAATCAGGTTTATTACTTATTATGGAATGCCAAACGATATGCATATATATTCAAGATCCGGGGTGACTTGCCACATTGAACTAGATGTGTTTTTTCAGACTCCTTTAAATTCAGATAATAAAAATATTTTTTAAAAAAATTGGTTTCAAAGTGTAGAGTGTTCCATGAGACAAACATTATCCTAATCATCAGTGTTAGGAAGATGATTATCCAGATAACTTCTTGATTTATTAAACCAATGGAGTTGTATCAGAGGCAGGCTCAAACGGAGAATTCTCTGGTTGGGCAACAGAAAGGTGCTAGAAGAGTCCACAGGTAGAGAAGGACACAAACCCAACAAGAAGCCATCTTAATCCAGAATATGGACCAAGTTCCAGCGAAGAATTTTTCAATTGCAGCATTTTCATAACTACAATGAAAGGAAGTGACGATTACCTAATTTGCTGACGTACAAATCATTTCTAGAAGGATGGTGCAATTCTAGCAGGACTTCTCAGAGAAACTGTACCGATCTTGTCTGGACCCTGTTTCCTCTTTCTAGCTAAGGGATGTGTGTTTATTCAAACAAGTTCAGTGCTACTTTCTCCCAGATAACACAATTCATACATAGGATTCTACTTTCAACTAATTTGTGCAGGCTGGACGTCAGGTTGATGGGCTTCAGAGTTTAATTTTTATTACGTTTCTTGTTAACTTGTGATAAGAAATGTGATTTTAATAATTTTTTAAAAAATAAACTGCTTCACAGTATAGTTCGGTAAATGCCAGTCACCACCAATTATTTGTTACTTTGCAATGCAATAATTAAATTTAAAACATTTTCCTCTCAAACTTCTATTTGATGTAACCTGCTTACAGAAACACAAAGGTGGATTTATACTTAAGGTGTACTATATCAAGAATTATTATTATTCGATATAGAATTATTCTATATCAAGAATTATTATTGTGTGGCACAGTTAAAGTGCCGAATTGCATCATCTAAGTAATCTTTATAAGACTGGCCAGAATTATCTACCTGATTTTGCAGGGAATGAGGCTTATGCTCATGGAATAATGAGTTGTCTAAAACCACCAAGTAGTTTGTGTGTAAGGTGAGATTTAACTGAGAAGCTCCTGTGTCATCCTAAGCATCACATGGCATAGGAGCAGGTTTCTTGAGGGGCTGCCTTTTCCCAAGAACATATGCCCACCCCACATGCTCCCACAAGGAGGGCAGGCTCCAGGTTCCATCTTTTAAATCTTGTCATCTTATGGGACATAGAAAGTGTGTCTTTTCTGTGGTTGCCCGTTCTCTGGAATGATCTCTCCCGCCTCCCCATCAATATACGACAGGTCCCAACTTTTCTCACCTTTAGGAACGCTGTCAAGACCTGGCTCTTTTCCCAAGCATTATGGGGCCAGTTGAGTGGGAGTCCCCTTGTGGTTGTTTTGTTATGTGCATGGTCACCATTTTATATTTTATATTTATATATTATATATTTATTGTTATGTGTTTTTTTTCCTTCTCTGATTTGTTTGTTTGTTTTTAGGCTGTACACTGCCCACTGTTATTGAGTTGGGTGGCCTTATAAATCTTGAAATAAATAACTACATTGCTAGCACAGTGCTTTTCCACTTACAAAATTATGTCCATCAATCCAGTCAGGAGTGTGATTTCATTTCTGCCACATGGAGTTCCATGCAATCCTCCCAAAATCTTCTCCAGGAGGCTAGACAGCTTTGGGGTGGTTATGAAAGGACTGAATGGAGAAAGGAGGACCAGGGGGGTTCCAACCACACAACATCAAACCATACATTTTTTTTTTTTGAAGGACTTACTGGAACCAATGGGTAACAGTCATCATCACGTAAAGAGATGCCAGGAAGAATACAAAGTGGAAATAAGCATAGCTGTACACAGTTCCTTTCTTTTCATCATAAATTACTTTCTGACCGCTCTTTTTCCCAGCATGCTCTTCAACCTCAGCTGGGTAAAACGAACATAAAGAGAAATACAATATGCTTTAGATCTAAATCAGCAACATACACTCAGAATAAAGTTAATAAGGCAAAAGAACACAGCCTTGATTTTGAAACAGCTGTTTTAAGCACTGGAATGGGCTGCTTCAGGGCACTTTTGAAGTGTCTCAAGCTTCCAACAGCTGTTTTCACCTCAAAACACTTCTGAAAAAACTGATACAGCCATTTTGCACTTGAACTGGGGCATTTCAATTCTGAAATATTTTGCACACCTGGAAAAATCCCTAATGAACAAGGTGGGATGACTTTTGAATTAACATGGCTAGGGTTGCCTTGAATGAAACTGAAACTCAACTAAAAGGATTGGAAAATGAAAGGAGGGAGATCCATTCTTAAAGGGGCATGCCACAAATAAACCATATTTATGTCCCTTTCAAGCTGGTCTGATATTCCCTTAAGAGTATTTTCGCTTGAAATGATCCTTGCTGGACTTTGGTCAATGAATAAAGTCAGTGAGAGCTGAAGTTTAGCATTCCTGACCAAGAGCAACTGTTAGTAGGGTCAAGAATTCTGACTGGAGGAGAGCCAAAGGAAGCTCTCTGCAGTGGCTACTTTTCTGCTTGATACAAGCTTTCAGGTTCATTTCTCCCTGGCTTTGATGTCCTTCCCATTTGATGGAGAACACAAGAATGCAAATGACCAGCTTTACCACTGAACTACAACCCTTCTCATTTGGAGAATTTTCTTCTCAATTTAATGGCAATCTATTATAATTAATTCCAGAAGAAAATATATTCCACTGACACATGGAATGAAAATGGTATTTTCCATCCACAGATACATTCTTTTTAAAGTTGTTCCTATAATCAACATGCTTGTGGTTATAACTTATATTTTAAGTTTTATGCTTCTTATATGATTATAAGGTTTCTCTACACACAGAAGCAAACCTAAAAAAGAAAAACTGCACTGCTTTAAGATGACAAAAATAAAATAACCTTTCAAGAGAATCTTTTTAATATATAAAAATGCATCTCAAGTTTTAAGAGATTCTATATGAATTTAAAGTTTCTGAAAATGCTGCCATATGCCAAACAGGCTCTCTAGCACCTCAAATAGGTAAACTAGCACTCCCAAGTAGCCTTTTAATCTCAATTTCTACAGGGGTAGGCAAAGAACGGGTAGTTGAGAACTCCAAAATAAAACATAGTATTTCTATTAGTAGCAATAATTTATTAAAAATCTATTTCTTTGTCTTTGGGAATAGTTTAAAAAATGATGAAATATTTTTATGAAGTTCATAGCGTGTAGGAGATCTACAAACCAACACAAAAATAAAGTAACCACAAATCCAAAGGCACCAAAATAGAATCAGAAATGTAGCACGAGGGTTCATGTATAGAATATGCTCGTTCTGTTTTAAAGAATACAGATCTGCACAGAACGAAAAATGGCATGAAAGAACGAAATTCTTACCATCTTCATCAGGAGTACAGCAGAAACAGCAGCGAGCCACCTACAATCGAGACACAAAACCAAAAGGTTTCTTCCACTAATTCATAAATTAACACTGATTCTGCTCAAAATATTTCAATGAAACATTCTATTAGGGGGAGGACAACATTGGATTTATCCAATACTGTACAGTGAATTTAAAACTGATCAAATTATTTTGTGGCCTTTCTGAAATTAGATAGATAAATAGTATATTGCTGGAAAGTACACTCATTCAGTTCAGTTCAAAGGACCACAGTGCCATGATTCTTATACTGGGAACTTTTTAGTTTGTCAATAGCTTACATTAAAAATAAAAGAAAAAGTTTGGACTATATGCTTGAAAAGAATGGATTTTGCTCTTAGCTTTTATCTTTTAAAGTAGAAATTGTCTTATGCAATAGTAATATACAGGTAGTCCTCACTTAACAACAGTAATTAGGGCTGGAATTTCCTTTGCTCAGCCATGTTGTAAAGCGCAATATCACATGGTTGCATTGCTTAACGATGTCAATCCCAGCAGTCCCTGTTGCTATCATTAAGCTAGGATCATGGGTTGTTAAGTGAGAGCCTCACATGACCGGGACTTGCAACTTCCTGCCAGCTTCCAACAAGCAAAGTCAATGGGGA